CGTGGTAGTGTATATGTATATCTTGCCATCAGGGTTAACACATTTGGTTATATAAATGTATTCTTGTGGCAAGGGACGGACAACATTTAGGACTTTTTGTTTGAGTTTGTTCCTGAGGGAAAGCGATATTTTTCGACAGGAGATAATCCAAGGCTTTTATCTTGGTGAACTCTTGCGTAAAGCTAAGACGCTTAAGTCAGGGAGGCCATTGGCCCAGATGGTTTCTCTGGCAACCTGGAGATCTGGAGACCTGCAGAGAAGAGACCATGGCACATAATATTCAGACATAATCACCGGCCCAGCTCGGAGCCTCGTTTCCATTTCCTCCTGTTTCATTTCTCACTTTATCTTCCTCAGTAGATCATTACAGGATGGACCTAAGAGCTCACAATGTTTCTTTCTCCTGCACATTTCACAAAGTAAGTCTGGGCAGCGCTAAGCTTGTCCCAGTCCCTGCTCACAGTATGAAATAATGCTGTTTTGGACCTTGAGATTGAGAGTTTGTTTACAAGAGTTGGACAGATCGTAGTGTTCTCCGCTCCTCCTGAACTGATACAGAATCCTGTGGATCTCTCTCAGAGGAAAAGCTGAACCATCTCTGGAGTCCAGAGGAGCTGAGACGCCCTCTTAACTGCAGCCACGACTGTCCCCCCACGTCCCGATATGGTGTTTCCAGATCCCAGAGTGCTTTGTGTTGCAGTGTTTTATTTACACTGATTGTTGTGCTTAATTTAATAGTCATTAATATATTTGACCTCTTGTGTATCTGACAACCCTATCTATGAAAATGCTTTCGATGGTTGGTGCTTCATTCTGAAATGTACTTATTAGGATCCCTTTATTCTGAGATTTCCTCCCTCATTCAAAAACAGTATTTCAAAAAAGCAAAAGTACAGTTTTATTGTACTGGTGCTACGATAGATTTTGTGTTGACAATCAATGAAGCTTTGGTTTGAAGTCACAAACTAATAAAAGATATTTAAGAAGAAAAGACTTAAGGTGTAAAGAAAAGTATAGTTTAGTTAAAGAAAATGGGTTACAACAAGACTGAAAGACTAAGACGTGTGTGAAGAGGAAGAGCCTTTTATTTGATTCTTTTATAAGAAATCAACAAGAATAAAGCATGATTGTGAATCATACTTTTTATCTCTTTGTTTTGTTCAGATGATTATAATAATTTAGATGTTCAGAGTATTTCTCAGGCTTATTTCAAACGATCCCTTTGTTTGGTGCAACTCCTACTGAGCTGTTTTTTTTTTTCCTCCATAATAATTTGTGAATTAGAAATAAAAAGCGGGATTGTTTCTGCTTGCTCTGAAGACTCGGAGTCACTCCTCGGTCGGCCTTGAGCTGTTTTCTGTTTCTGACGTCAGCAGAATGAATAACAAGCGTTGAATTCAAAAACAATAAAACTGAGCATTCCTCAGTTCCCCCAGTTTGCCCCTACAGCACCAGTTAGCTATTATGAAACGTCACTAAGATGTTACTGTGCGAATCAGTTTGTACTCTGCATTATCTTGTAACTTTAAGATGTTGTAACTTATTTTTCCTGATAGAGACGTTAAAAAAAATACAATTAGCTAAAAATGGCTACAGCTTTGGTTTGCCTTTTGCTTTTGTTGCGAAAGATTTCATATCTGTAATTGAGTTGATTTAGGAGTGTAACATGTAACAGAGTTGACAGCTGATTGTTTAAATTTAGATTTGTGAGGAGGCATTTTACAGCCGCTGTTCATTGCTCTGAGTTACTCTGTTACTGTGTTGTCTTTGTACCATCTGGAGCTAAACTTAGACTGTGTCTTTTTGGGGTATGACAGGAACGCCATCGGACAGGCTTTGTGTTTGTTACATTTAAGGATGTAATGTCTGTTAATGCTGATGCTTGGGCCCATTTTCTCACAAACTATAAAAAAACAAGAGAACATTACGAGTGCAGAAATGCCTGGGCTTCCTGAGTGAGCATGTACTGCCTAATTAATGTAAAACAATCAAGGTTGGGCTTTTTGAAATCCTCATAGGTTTACAAATTTGAGTTGTGGATCTCAGATTATTCCTAAGAACTGGAATCGTACTTGTAGAACATTATCCTCCTTTAATCTGGTGTAAAGTCTTAGAGCTGCTCTCAAACATGGGAAGTCTACAGTTTAATGACAGCTGAGCACACTGTCGCAGCAGAAAGTTGTAAAGAACAATGTTCAGGTGGCCTTTATTTCAGTTTGTTTTGGCAACTGCTGTTTCCAAGGTCAAGAGTATGCTGTCGGGTTAGAGAGGTTTTAGTGACCTCATGCTTTTTAATGTGGTTTGGCTTTATTTTATCCACTAGAGGGAACCAGTGACAGCAACTTTGTCAACATCAAAGCTGAAAGGAGCATCTGCTGCCCAATGTTACATCAATCTGACTCCAGCCATCGTAAATTCATGTTACTCGTGGTTTTATTGGGTCTGCTGATTTATGTAATCGTACCCAGGGTTTTTATTGGATGGATACATTTGGGGCATCGATAACACAGCCCATGTGAAAGTTACCTACGTGAGCGTTGACGCCCTCTTCGACTGCGAAGGGGGCCGACTGAGAATGTACGCTCCTAATTTGAACATGTCAGCCCTTTTTTAACTGCAGCTCGTCACTGTCCTGACGCTGCTTTTCAAGACCTGGTGGAAACTCCTGCAGTGACATTACCGAGCCAGAATACCGGGAGGTGGCACCATGTGAGGCATGTTAGGACTTCGGTTTGACCCGCGGGGCAGCTGTTCATGTTGGGAGTCTGAGTCAAGTCTGCTCTCTGTGACTAAACCCGCAAAAATGTGATATTCCCATGAAACAAATTCAACCAACGGCGCTGCTCATTAAAATAAACGAGCAGACATTTGTTTCTAGTATCAGCCTTTCACTACAGTAGAAGCATAAATGCGTTAAACTGGCATAAAAGGTCCATTAAATCACATTTATTGAAGCGCCGACTATCACTTCTTGTGAAAAAATTACAGCTACGATTTCCGTCTTAGATAAAACTAAAGAATGGAAATCAAAGCTAAGAAGGAGCAGATTTATCCTTGTTCTATCACTGATAAGAAAAAACATCAGAGCCACTGTAATACGGGGTATTTCGGAGGTTTCCTGGGGGCACATGTGCTCTGTTTGATGTCTCAGTGTAAAGCGCCGAGCTGGTCCATTGTAGTGAGACGTGACATACCAGTCACAGCCCTTCGTTGGGCCTCTTGGTACAGATGGTCTCAGCCCAGTGTAACCTATGCAGTCCCCACGAGGTTACTCTAGTTCAGCAACTGCTGTGACCAAGCTTTGTGTCCCAGCAGGGTCGCCACTGCCACGTTTCAGCGCGCTCTGTGTGGATTCATATCAGATCAAAGTGCTTTGCAATGTACTTTTTATGAAGAGTGGATTCTACGATACAAAAAAATGCTTTGAAGTCTGAAGTTGAAGCTTCAGAGTTTGTTGTTTTTATGCTGTTTATTCTTGTCAGTTACTGTAAACTTCATCTGGATGACTCACCAGAGGAGTGTTTCCGAGAGTTTGGGGAGTCATGGGGAAATTTTGACTCCTATAAATCGAGCCTTCTTACATCATACATGGAGCTGAGCCCTCCGACCCGCCCTCCTCACCAAGCCCCTGCCATGCCTCCTTGCTCATTGGCTTCCCCTTGTGGGGCAGTTGACGCTGATTGGGTAGAAATGAGGGCAAGTCTGCACAAGACCTACTGACAGACTGACATGGAAAGAGGAAGGAGAGGAAGCCTGTTGGAGGCTTTGAGACACAAAGGGATATGACTGAAATAGGCGTTAAGGACGAAAGTACACGATGCACACACATCAAGGGGGATGGGTGCTCTTTGTATATCATTTAGCTCAAACTTCCAGCACGTTAAAATCAACTAAATCCCCCAACAAAACAAACTCCAGTTAAAACCTGCCAGCGTCTTTGTGAAAAGGCTTTTCAGGCAATTAATGAGTATTTTGTGCCCGTCTGTATATTATTTGTTATGAAAATGAGCTCCTCTGAGAGCGTCTTGGATCGCTCTGGGTTCACTGAGTACATCTGTTGTCTGTGTTAACGACGCTCAGATCGGGTTATGTAACAGACCTCTGTGAAAAAAAAAAAAAGAAGCAGAATGGGGAAGTCCTGCACTCTTAGCTTGCATGTAAAGCTCAGCCTAGATACTTCCCTTTCTCTCTGAAATCAGCCCTCCTTGTTGTTTTGTCGGCTGCTGACCAGAATCTTAAAGGTGCAAGAAGAAATGTTTTAATCTGTCTGAGCGGCTCTTTGAACATTTGGGGAACGTTTTAGCGCTTCAGATGGATCAATCGTGCTTTCATCCCATGAGACGGTGCAGCCGGTTCTTTTGTTATCATCAGCAAGATAGAGATGAATGTGTTCTCTCTCTGCAGGAATATCTGCCGTGTGTCCGTACATGACCCTGTTAAAGCATATTAATGAATCATACAAGCCAAGTCCATGGTAAAAATAACCCTCTAAGGACTGGTGTTAGATGTCCTTTGTGTGTGTTGATATGAAGACATCTAATGGGGTTTGATCCGCTGCTATCTCTGACCTGATGCTTCACCCCTGCAGCTCTAAATATAACCTCAGGGGGAAAATAACACTGTCGTGCTATTTTGCAAAGGGGTTGACCTTGTCCTGATGTCAACGATTGCTTTTGCATGCAGCCTGCACGTGCCAGATGAACCCAGACACCCAGACATTAATGAAATCTGGCTAAAATGTAACTTTGCACTTTGAGTCTTTAGCTATACAAAGGTGGAAGTCAAACAAAGTAGAAGCTAAAGTGCAGTTATTTACACTGGACACTGCATGGGGTTACAATGTCCAAAATCTCTTTGCACGTGATGTGTTGAAGCACTGAAAAGAGGTAAAGTGTTAGAGTTGGAAGTGTCATCACCAAAAGAGTACAAGAAGTTGAGAANGGATGGATGGATGTTTTACCATTAATATTTTGCATTGTTGTTTCATTGGCTGCTGAACCATGCAGGGCGGCGATGGTGATGGTAGGCATCTGTGAGTCATTGAAAATATCTACATTATCAGTCACTAGAGCACTGAAAAGTAAAAGATTCAGAACTGACCGTAGAAACACTTGGCTGGCGACTGTTGTATTTCCAACTTGAAAAAACTACATTGTCAAATTTACTTCATGAAGATGTACATCTTCATAACAGATACACTGGAAAGCCATTAATGTTATGAACTCTGAGCAGTTTCTGGATGTCTTTTTGGGCCTGTGACATTTTTACTCACTGTTGGTTCAATTTTCACTGTAATATAAAGTCCTGCACCTCTGTGGAAACAGCACAATCACAGCTAGACGTAGAGACAACAGAAAAAAGGTCTTCTGTGCAGTCTACCAAAGTTGTACCGTCATAAACCAAAGCAACAAACATCTCTGACTACAAAAACGTGGCATCAATACATACAACACTTTGAAAATGCCCACAGGTGTTACTGATAGTGAAAGTGTAATTCTAGCTGTAAAATTGTAATATTATTACGACATGTTTCATTTGTTTCCATATTTGTTTCCTATTTGCTCTGTGTGTTGCCTGTAGTTCAGCAGAGTTCAGCTGAAAAGTCCCTGATTTTTGTAACGTGACTGTTGATCACAGCTGAGTCACGAATGGCTTAGTGGAGTTTTTTACAGAATCTGGTTAATACCGATTGTTTATTATTACTTTGGCAAATTTTTAAATGAGATGTGGCGAATACAAGAATACAGTGAATTTGTGTGTCGTATCAGCATCAGAACATAAACATAATGTACCCGTTAGTGTGGATATGACATGCATCGTAAGTCATATGTGGAGAGAATAAACAGAAATTTGGCAGACTTGAGCCTATGGTTGCAAAAGCAGAGCCGAGTAACTCATAGACAGCAGTTACGCTGTTTCAACAGATAACGTGACTTAGCCGAGGCACACTGGTTCAGGATGTACCAGCCTGTGTGATGTCGACACAAAACAGAACCTAATATATGCCATGCTTCATGTTAGGCTTGGCAGATGGGCATGAGCATGAGGCTGTTTAACTGCTGCACCAGTGCAACACTGATAAAAATAGATGTTTAAAGTTTAAATATTGAGATTATTGGCTCATCTGTTTCCTTCTGCTCAGCATAACCTCCCCTCTAATTTGTCATTGCAGACCCACACGCAGATCAGTGTCCAAGTCCCACTGCCTGCAGTCCAGAGCCTCCTCCACGGAGACCCTCATTCACTCGCTCAGGATCGGTCCGCTACCAGGAGAGCGAGGAGTCTCCGGAGTGCAATGATAAGCCTTCAGGGAAGAGGAAGTTCAAAAGCAAACACTTGTGTGACAGCGATGAACCGAAGGTAAGTTGCTGATGCTGTTTTGCTGGATTGTAGTACATTTCAAATCATACGGGGCTGTTGGAGCAGGGGACCATAAATATATAAGCTTACAGCTCCCCCCTGTGGCCTGATGAAATGCTATGTTTGTCACATTTCTGATAGCAGCTGGGATTATATAGCACAGGTTCTTGATAAGAGGAACCAAGGGGTCCTAACTTGGCATTGCTTTACAAAAGCCTCCATTTCACACAGTGCTCTAATCAGTAAATGTGTGTTTTAGAGTAAGACCAAACGCAGCAGCTTGGGCAAGCGTGGTGCCTCCCTTGCCCAGGAAGATGATGGTGCTGGTGTTAAAAGACCAGTTAGTCCACCACCCACTCCAAAAAGTTTGCCATCTTCTCCACCCAATAAGAAAAGCTCATCTGGAAGAAGCAGTGGTTCAGACTCTCCACCCAAAAGGCCGGTTCCTCCAGAGGTTCGTCGACTGATTGTTAATAAAAATGCTGGCGAGACCTTACTGCAACGTGCTGCCCGCTTGGGCTATCAGGTAAAATCCCACCTGTTCACTTGTATAGTATTGTTCACAGGAATTTAACTCCAGTATATGGTTTGCTTCTTTGAAACATAATAATGTGACAGCTGTCCTACCTCTGTTCTACAGGATGTAGTCCAGTATTGTCTTGAAAAGGACATCAGGGAGGTCAATCGGCGTGATAACGCTGGTTACACAGCTCTCCATGAGGCATCCTCTCGAGGCTGGACTCAGATTGTCCAGATGCTGCTGAAACATGGTGCAGATGTCAACTGTAGTGCCCAGGATGGAACACGGTGAGGCTTCATGCTGCATGACTGTGATGATGGCTCTAATTAGTTAAACTCAAGTGTTGTCATGTGTGTAATCTTTGTGATAAATTCAAGCATGAAGGTCACTTCTTGATCTTTTACAAACAGCATGTGTATAAAATATCGTAAGCTTCAACGACCTCATCTCAGCTTTTTGAAGCCGTGAGTCTCATCCCACAGTCTTTACTGACCAAATGGAACTTGTTCAGATTTGCAGTTGTAATTAGTCATATTCATGGTGTGTTGGTTTGAAATCTTTTTTTAATGGAGTAATGCATATTTTTGTGACATCTTTTGTATATCTTGTACAATTCCTAAATAGTTTTTTCTTCCCTCAGGCCACTTCACGATGCAGTAGCGAGTGATAACCTACCGATAGTCTGGCTGCTTCTGAACCACGGTGCCGACCCGACTCTGGCAACCTACTCTGGACACACACCGGTCAAACTGGCACACAGCCCGAGCATGAAGACCTTCCTCACAGGTAGTTCATGTTTTTGTTTACTTTTGTTTCCATTTGAGTAGTTTTGGTTTAAGTGTATTAAATCAAAATTATTTTTGTGAGAGTAATTTACTGCGGGTTAAATTCAATTTTTCAATCATCAGCAAACACTTCAAACACATGATAAACAACCCATCACAAAGGCTTTCATAAAGCTAATTGAAATGAGACATGAAAACAAATAATTAAATGTTGATTTGCCAACTTTTCACTCACCCATCAGGCAATGTGTCAACACATTAATAAACTCTTTGCCCACTCCCACCACTTCACATTTGGCGCAGTGAACAATAAATAGTACCGGGTACATGCAGCACATATGAGAAGTACAAAGCTAAACCTTCATCTATCGACACGGAGTTTGACAGTAACTGAGTCACTTCTCGCCAGACGTGTGACTCAAATTGTTTTGTTGTCTTGCAGCTGTATTTGGTTGTCAAAAACTGAAAATGCTGTCCTAGTAAAATGAACCATTTTGACAGTGTGGTGTGTTATACTTGAGATTGCCACATACATATGTTATTAAGTAAGCAATGATTGATTATATTCTTAGAAGCTGTTATTCAGTCAAGAAGATATTAATTGACAATGCTCAAAGCTGACATAACATAACGCAGCACTGTTTGTCTATGATTTTACTCCCATCCATTTGAGATTTGGACCTGGAGTTTTTATATACTTGAGACAACTTCAAGTGGTTTTATAAATAACGTGAACAGTAAAATGTGAATCTCACCTTGACGTATTTGGAAGCTTGACATTATGCAAACTAAATCCTTTACAGTGTTATCCTTTAAAAATAACCAGCTGAATTTTAATCAGCAAATGGGCAGATGACTCACCCATGGCTCCTCCAGTTATTGACTGAACCCCTGAAAACTCATCTCTGGGTATCAAAGTTACTTATTTAGTGTTTTTTTTTCCATAAAAATATTCCCTTCTTGCCTTAAAATGGCATAGATGTAACCTACACTGTTGCTGCAGATCTATTAAGTCTCTGTCTTTCTCTAAACACACCCTTCCCCATTTAATGTCGCAGCTCGAGCACACCAGCTCACCTACGACTCTTCTTAAACACTGTAAAGCTAGTCTAAGCTTGTGCAAGTAATGATGAGTTGTAATATTAGCATAATTCAGCCATACATGTTCAAATCCAAAACTGATTCTGGAGAAGAATAATGATGCAGAAAGCTCCAACCTGCAAACTGACAGGTTTGGTTCCTGAAGTTTGTCACAAATGAAACCCTAAAAGCCTGAATCTGTGTTTTTAAGACTGCTGGGGTTTTTTTTTCGCTCATGCAATGTCTATCAGCATACAAAGACACCATTAACACGTGGTGCAAATGTACAATAAAGTCATAATTGTGGACAAACATGGATTTTGTGTTGAAGTTTGAAACTTTTAACGACCTCTCAATTATTAATCATTAAGAAAGCCAATGACTGACTAAGGTAAATGCTTTCCTTAATTTCCCTCCCTGTGGTCATCTGCCTTCCTGGCGAACCTTCACCATGTATGACTCCTTCTTGCTTCTCATAGGGAACCCAAAGCTAGCGTGTTACAGACGTGACCTCTGTGCTTTGTAATTTACTCTCTCACCGTCTTGATGGTTTTCCCAGCACTTTGCCACGTTGAAACATGAGTCATTCATTTGATTGCTGACGTTGGTGCAGTATCAATGTTTTTCATCTCATATAAACAGAACGATGGAGGCTCAGTAGTTGATACAGCAACACTCACATGCAGCTCCGATGCCCTGTTTTTTCTTTCTTTTGGTAGGCTGCTCTTGTCTGAAAAGTGAACCACATCACACAGTCAAGCTACAACTTTATTTACTTTGCTGATTCTTCATATGGATTTTTATATAGTCCACTTTGTTTTCAGACAAACACAAAAGTTTTCACTTATCCCATTATAAATTTTGTTTGGTGTTAACAAGCAGACCAGCGTTAGTGTGTGTAGTGTGCACTTGTTTTCATCTAATAGTTATAATGTGAACTGTCACAAAAATAATGCAATTGTTTGTTTTTCTCCAGAATATTTCACTGACCTGGAAGGCCGCAATGAACGCGATCCCACTTTACCCTGGGATTTCTACAGTAGCTCCCTGTTTGGTAAGAAACCTCAGTGCTGCATCTGTCTGTTGAACATAAGCCACTGATCAATCAAACATCCTATTTTAATCTGTGAATACAGTGACAGAAAAGTGGTTGAAATCTCCCTCCTCCGCTGTCCTTGAGGCAAGCGCTTTAAGACTTGTTGGAGCAGTGACCGGGTCGCTGCAGGGAAAGGAAGCTAGTTTGTAGGCTGGGCTCACTGGGACGTGGAGCGGTGTTAGCTCTGAGTACTAGCATCCGCGTTGTGTTGTAAACAGCCACAGGGAGCCAGTTATCCAGCAGAGGGAGAGGAGGATTAGAGTTGCATGGAAGAACTGAGGGAGACTAAAGAGAATGTGGACTGCAGCTTTCTGAATGAACTAGGAGACAAAAGATGATGCAGTTTTAATTATGACTTGACTATTTTTTTGTACACGGCAAGGACAAATATTTTTATATTCATTATGGCAACCATTCTGAAAATAATCTTTTTCTCTTTCAAATACTTCAAATCCTAAAGCTACATCTAAATAATTAAAATAAAACAAAGTATTGAAAGTACATTCAATTATTTCAGGTGATTCAGTCAGTTTGTTCTTACTTTGACAATTTACATTTTTCTCCTCCAGCTGTATGAGCCTTACAGTGATCACTAGTTTGTGTGCTTAATGTGTCCTTTGTAGCCTGGTGTTTAATGACAGGTTCAAATCACCCAGTTTCTAAGTTTTCTAAGTGTTAGCATTAAAAATATGTTTTCTTCCAAAGAAGCTGATCAAGTTCATCACAAATTATCAACTATGTTACATTCTCTCTTTCCTTTCTATAATATTTTATTAAGGAGGCCCCAATCCCAGCATTAATCTTGTTTTTAATATTATACACGTTTCTGTCAAATACATATAAATGAGCAGTAGCTTGATCCCTCTCATGTATGTTATTTCTGGAGTTTCTTATTTGAAAAATGACTGAAAGGATCATTTGTCTGGCTTTCGTAACCAATAATATTCTACAGCATGAGAAGCAGCCTTCATGGGACCCAGTAGACCCAAGAGAGCACAGGAAACGTTAAGCTTTAACTCTTTGGAGTCCAAACAGTTTCTGGGTGGTTTGTGCACCTCTATAGAAGCAGCACAACCGTGGCTAGAAGGAGAGGCAACTCAGAAATGTCTTTTGCGTGGTGAAACACAGTTGTAGTGCCACAAATCATCAAAACGAAAATTGTTGAATTTATGTGGTTATTCATTTTACAATTAATACAAAAAAACTAGAATCAACATGTTCAAAATTCTTTTTCAAAATACCCACAACTCTTACCAATACAGAAAACATAATTGATTGTCCACATACTATCGGTGTTTTTACTACTTATATTTTTAATTGTTCATATTTAGCTCCTGTCTGCTCTGTGTAAACACAGCCTGCAGTTCAGCCCAAATAAGCTCAAACAGCCCTGAATTCTGGCACAAATGTTGGTCTCAGCTGATGCACTCGTGGCTCCATAATTACGCGAAGGAGTGCATAATTTTATTTTTAATTTTTTTAGCAGAATCTGATCGATGCAAAGTTCATCTTTTTTTTTTTTTGTGATTTTGTGAATTATGATTTTGATCTTAGATTTGGATAATTGATAAGTAGCTTAAGGACAGTTAGAAAGACATCTGACGACTCTTCCTGTGCTCACAGTTTTAGTTCTCCGATAAATGGTGTAATTTTGGTGATTTTTAATGATAACATGGCTTTTAAACTCGCCAGCGGGGTTTGGGATTCAGAGGGTTAATCTGGTTTTGTCGAATTTTCTCTTTGACTGTCTTCAAGTTTTTTAAATTTAGGAAAAAATAGCAAGAAAGCCAGTTAACAAATATGTTTCTTGTCAACATTATTTCATATCCCTGTTCTCCTTTGTAGAAAGCAATTCATTTCAACACCATGATGTTTGTATTCCTGTAATTGATCAGCGTCACTCATATTCATGTGAGGATAAAGCGGCCACTAGAGGGCGTCCAGACCACGTGAATGTTAAAGTAGCTCAGTGGCAGATTCAGCCAGTTTGTCTGCTCCTTTTCATCCTCTTCTCACCTCTGTGAACTTCACTTCACTTCACAGAGACTGACCAGGAGCCGTGCTGGGATTTCCTGCTGTCTGAGCAGAACCAAGAGCTGGATGACGATCTAACAGGGAACACTGAGCGGGACTCGGACAAAGACTGCCTTCTGTTCGAGTTCTCCTCCGAGCCTCTCTTACCCTGCTATCATGTTCAGGTGTCATTAACACAGGGGTGAGTTCACAAAGTGACACATTATTGGGGAGAATTCATGGAAATATAGCAGAAAATAGGGGGTGGCCTTTAGGTAGCATCTGGATGTGTGTTCAAAAAAACAAACACAATAATAGCTGTTGTAGAATAATGTTAGGCCTTTAAACAAGCATGAATTGTGTAAAATTGACCACTTTGACTAAAGTTGGGGCCATTTATATTCATCATAATGCTCTGCTGCCACAGATATTCTAACGTCATCTAAAATTGTTTGCGGTTCCACAGTATGTTTAAGCATTACAGCAATTACAGCAGTCAGGTAGTCTATGATGACAGTGGATACTGGTACCTGGGACTCGGTATATGGCAGTTGTTCCACTTTTTTACTGCGTCTAGTATTTCACAAAATACACCGTTGAAATGTACTATTCATATTTGCAGAAAATCCTTTACTGATCAATCTATTTTCACTGTCACAGTTTTTTGTGCACAGTTGAACATTGAACCATAGATCTGCTTTTTCTGTATAAACAAATGCTGTATTTAGGCTCATATTTCAGTATTTAGGTGGTTACTGTCAATACACTGAGATGACCGTAGTCTGAGAAAGAAATGAAGAAGAATGGGAAGTATTATTCAATATTATTACCACAAATACAACATTATTAAATAGGATCTGGCTTCATAATGGACTAAAGATAAGGATGTTGTTGCCTCAGCAGTTGAAACACATTTTGTTGACTGTTTTTCTTGTAGTAATGTGATGTTTTATCTGTATGTGTGGCAGTGGTCAGTAATTAGGTTCCATCAATGGCCAGTTTTATCAGTTTTATTCAGTAGCATATAAGGCAGTCTGCAGGTGCCAGAGTATTTTATTTTTGAGGGTTTTTTTTTTAAATAATTATGCAATGTCAGATGACTTTTTCCCATTGTGAGGTTGACAGCAGCTGCTGTTACTTCTTTGTTTAAATTTAAATGGCACGAGACATGATTCCATGTATTTTTATGCACATTATAAGGTATTGCATTAAAAAAAACAAGTTTATGTAAATTGCAAAATTTAACAAAAAAAAAAATTCCTGGTTTTGCAAAAAATGTTGACGCTTGCTTGAGGTGGTGTTTTGAATTTTATTTTATTTTTTAAAGGAGTTTATCCAATATTGGGAGATGGAAACACCATTTTTAAAGAAGTTCTTACATAGCAAACATACAGTAGAAACATGGCTAACACCAGCTTTCCAATTTACCCAGTTTTTCTGATTGAAAAAAATGTGCATTTGTTTCTCATAGATGGCCAATTTTTTTCTTATGTCCTCTTCTTTGAATTTTTTATTGGTTGGCAAACAACAGTTTTTGGTTTCCGGCTACTTTTAGCCTATATTACTACCTTCTGATGACACTACGCAACCAAGTTTATTTGCTCCAAGGCAGTAAATGGAAAGATGCCCAATAAAACATTTGAATTTTCTTTGGTTTTTTTTTTTTTTTTGCCACATTTCAAAAGTTTGCTTTGAATTAGCTTGACACGTATATGGAAACGAAGCTATTAACACGTTAAACAAGTCTTTGTGGCTGAATGAATGTACTGTTGTTGTCACCTGTTTGTGTTTTAAAGGCAACGCTGTGAAATAATTAGGCCCATAGTTCACTTCCTCTTTAAAACATGGAAATCTAAAATTGCACATCTTGATTTTTTTATTCACAAACCAACATCTAATGTCACACTTTTCTCTCTCTAGCTTTTGCAACTGGTTCCTCCTGACAGACGTGCTGAAGCGTCTGAAGATGTCAGCGCGGATCTTCCGGGCGCGGTACCCGCACTTCGAGGTGGTGAATTTGTCGCGGGTCGAGCTCTGGAAGCAGGTATCAGTCAGCCAGGTGAGCTCTGCTTTGGCCTCTCCATACAGAGGCAAAAACAAGGAGCAAGACAATGAAGAGGAGGAGGAAGGACTTGTGGATCTGGTGCGTTGTGTGCCAGAGCTCCAGAGACTATTGGGCTCCTGCATTCACATCCTGCAAGAGGACGAGGAGGAGGAGGAGGAGGAGGAGGAGACACTGGCAAACACAGGGAAGCTTTGCAGCCGATAGCCTCTATGGCACCGCAGTCCTCCACCCTGCGGACACCGTTTGTGTCAGCCAGAGTCCTTCCCTGCAAGGAGCAACTCCAAGGAAACCTCTCCGTCCGTTGTAAAGAGGGTCATGGGTTTTAACTCCAGCCACAGTAATGACTCGACACTCCACAGATAACCTTTGACCTCAGACAGAAGTGATCTGAAGGACCTGCACATGTGAGTGGTCAGTGCTGGAAAGCAGCTTTCAGGTTCCTATCTATAGGTATATTTGAATACACGAGAACTATTGAGCAAACCTTTTTTATTGATTATGTATGTACGTGGTAGTGTATATGTATATCTTGCCATCAGGGTTAACACATTTGGTTATATAAATGTATTCTTGTGGCAAGGGACGGACAACATTTAGGACTTTTTGTTTGAGTTTGTTCCTGAGGGAAAGCGATATTTTTCGACAGGAGATAATCCAAGGCTTTTATCTTGGTGAACTCTTGCGTAAAGCTAAGACGCTTAAGTCAGGGAGGCCATTGGCCCAGATGGTTTCTCTGGCAACCTGGAGATCTGGAGACCTGCAGAGAAGAGACCATGGCACATAATATTCAGACATAATCACCGGCCCAGCTCGGAGCCTCGTTTCCATTTCCTCCTGTTTCATTTCTCACTTTATCTTCCTCAGTAGATCATTACAGGATGGACCTAAGAGCTCACAATGTTTCTTTCTCCTGCACATTTCACAAAGTAAGTCTGGGCAGCGCTAAGCTTGTCCCAGTCCCTGCTCACAGTATGAAATAATGCTGTTTTGGACCTTGAGATTGAGAGTTTGTTTACAAGAGTTGGACAGATCGTAGTGTTCTCCGCTCCTCCTGAACTGATACAGAATCCTGTGGATCTCTCTCAGAGGAAAAGCTGAACCATCTCTGGAGTCCAGAGGAGCTGAGACGCCCTCTTAACTGCAGCCACGACTGTCCCCCCACGTCCCGATATGGTGTTTCCAGATCCCAGAGTGCTTTGTGTTGCAGTGTTTTATTTACACTGATTGTTGTGCTTAATTTAATAGTCATTAATATATTTGACCTCTTGTGTATCTGACAACCCTATCTATGAAAATGCTTTCGATGGTTGGTGCTTCATTCTGAAATGTACTTATTAGGATCCCTTTATTCTGAGATTTCCTCCCTCATTCAAAAACAGTATTTCAAAAAAGCAAAAGTACAGTTTTATTGTACTGGTGCTACGATAGATTTTGTGTTGACAATCAATGAAGCTTTGGTTTGAAGTCACAAACTAATAAAAGATATTTAAGAAGAAAAGACTTAAGGTGTAAAGAAAAGTATAGTTTAGTTAAAGAAAATGGGTTACAACAAGACTGAAAGACTAAGACGTGTGTGAAGAGGAAGAGCCTTTTATTTGATTCTTTTATAAGAAATCAACAAGAATAAAGCATGATTGTGAATCATACTTTTTATCTCTTTGTTTTGTTCAGATGATTATAATAATTTAGATGTTCAGAGTATTTCTCAGGCTTATTTCAAACGATCCCTTTGTTTGGTGCAACTCCTACTGAGCTGTTTTTTTTTTTCCTCCATAATAATTTGTGAATTAGAAATAAAAAGCGGGATTGTTTCTGCTTGCTCTGAAGACTCGGAGTCACTCCTCGGTCGGCCTTGAGCTGTTTTCTGTTTCTGACGTCAGCAGAATGAATAACAAGCGTTGAATTCAAAAACAATAAAACTGAGCATTCCTCAGTTCCCCCAGTTTGCCCCTACAGCACCAGTTAGCTATTATGAAACGTCACTAAGATGTTACTGTGCGAATCAGTTTGTACTCTGCATTATCTTGTAACTTTAAGATGTTGTAACTTATTTTTCCTGATAGAGACGTTAAAAAAAATACAATTAGCTAAAAATGGCTACAGCTTTGGTTTGCCTTTTGCTTTTGTTGCGAAAGATTTCATATCTGTAATTGAGTTGATTTAGGAGTGTAACATGTAACAGAGTTGACAGCTGATTGTTTAAATTTAGATTTGTGAGGAGGCATTTTACAGCCGCTGTTCATTGCTCTGAGTTACTCTGTTACTGTGTTGTCTTTGTACCATCTGGAGCTAAACTTAGACTGTGTCTTTTTGGGGTATGACAGGAACGCCATCGGACAGGCTTTGTGTTTGTTACATTTAAGGATGTAATGTCTGTTAATGCTGATGCTTGGGCCCATTTTCTCACAAACTATAAAAAAACAAGAGAACATTACGAGTGCAGAAATGCCTGGGCTTCCTGAGTGAGCATGTACTGCCTAATTAATGTAAAACAATCAAGGTTGGGCTTTTTGAAATCCTCATAGGTTTACAAATTTGAGTTGTGGATCTCAGATTATTCCTAAGAACTGGAATCGTACTTGTAGAACATTATCCTCCTTTAATCTGGTGTAAAGTCTTAGAGCTGCTCTCAAACATGGGAAGTCTACAGTTTAATGACAGCTGAGCACACTGTCGCAGCAGAAAGTTGTAAAGAACAATGTTCAGGTGGCCTTTATTTCAGTTTGTTTTGGCAACTGCTGTTTCCAAGGTCAAGAGTATGCTGTCGGGTTAGAGAGGTTTTAGTGACCTCATGCTTTTTAATGTGGTTTGGCTTTATTTTATCCACTAGAGGGAACCAGTGACAGCAACTTTGTCAACATCAAAGCTGAAAGGAGCATCTGCTGCCCAATGTTACATCAATCTGACTCCAGCCATCGTAAATTCATGTTACTCGTGGTTTTATTGGGTCTGCTGATTTATGTAATCGTACCCAGGGTTTTTATTGGATGGATACATTTGGGGCATCGATAACACAGCCCATGTGAAAGTTACCTACGTGAGCGTTGACGCCCTCTTCGACTGCGAAGGGGGCCGACTGAGAATGTACGCTCCTAATTTGAACATGTCAGCCCTTTTTTAACTGCAGCTCGTCACTGTCCTGACGCTGCTTTTCAAGACCTGGTGGAAACTCCTGCAGTGACATTACCGAGCCAGAATACCGGGAGGTGGCACCATGTGAGGCATGTTAGGACTTCGGTTTGACCCGCGGGGCAGCTGTTCATGTTGGGAGTCTGAGTCAAGTCTGCTCTCTGTGACTAAACCCGCAAAAATGTGATATTCCCATGAAACAAATTCAACCAACGGCGCTGCTCATTAAAATAAACGAGCAGACATTTGTTTCTAGTATCAGCCTTTCACTACAGTAGAAGCATAAATGCGTTAAACTGGCATAAAAGGTCCATTAAATCACATTTATTGAAGCGCCGACTATCACTTCTTGTGAAAAAATTACAGCTACGATTTCCGTCTTAGATAAAACTAAAGAATGGAAATCAAAGCTAAGAAGGAGCAGATTTATCCTTGTTCTATCACTGATAAGAAAAAACATCAGAGCCACTGTAATACGGGGTATTTCGGAGGTTTCCTGGGGGCACATGTGCTCTGTTTGATGTCTCAGTGTAAAGCGCCGAGCTGGTCCATTGTAGTGAGACGTGACATACCAGTCACAGCCCTTCGTTGGGCCTCTTGGTACAGATGGTCTCAGCCCAGTGTAACCTATGCAGTCCCCACGAGGTTACTCTAGTTCAGCAACTGCTGTGACCAAGCTTTGTGTCCCAGCAGGGTCGCCACTGCCACGTTTCAGCGCGCTCTGTGTGGATTCATATCAGATCAAAGTGCTTTGCAATGTACTTTTTATGAAGAGTGGATTCTACGATACAAAAAAAGGCTTTGAAGTCTGAAGTTGAAGCTTCAGAGTTTGTTGTTTTTATGCTGTTTATTCTTGTCAGTTACTGTAAACTTCATCTGGATGATTCACCAAAGGAGTGTTTCCGAGAGTTTGGGGAGTCATGGGGAAATTTTGACTCCTATAAATCGAGCCTTCTTACATCATACATGGAGCTGAGCCCTCCGACCCGCCCTCCTCACCAAGCCCCTGCCATGCCTCCTTGCTCATTGGCTTCCCCTTGTGGGGCAGTTGACGCTGATTGGGTAGAAATGAGGGCAAGTCTGCACAAGACCTACTGACAGACTGACATGGAAAGAGGAAGGAGAGGAAGCCTGTTGGAGGCTTTGAGACACAAAGGGATATGACTGAAATAGGCGTTAAGGACGAAAGTACACGATGCACACACATCAAGGGGGATGGGTGCTCTTTGTATATCATTTAGCTCAAACTTACAGCACGTTAAAATCAGCTAAATCCCCCAACAAAACAAACTCCAGTTAAAACCTGCCAGCGTCTTTGTGAAAAGGCTTTTCAGGCAATTAATGAGTATTTTGTGCCCGTCTGTATATTATTTGTTATGAAAATGAGCTCCTCTGAGAGCGTCTTGGATCGCTCTGGGTTCACTGAGTACATCTGTTGTCTGTGTTAACGACGCTCAGATCGGGTTATGTAACAGACCTCTGTGAAAAAAAAAAAAACAAGCAGAATGGGGAAGTCCTGCACTCTTAGCTTGCATGTAAAGCTCAGCCTAGATACTTCCCTTTCTCTCTGAAATCAGCCCTCCTTGTTGTTTTGTCGGCTGCTGACCAGAATCTTAAAGGTGCAAGAAGAAATGTTTTAATCTGTCTGAGCGGCTCTTTGAACATTTGGGGAACGTTTTAGCGCTTCAGATGGATCAATCGTGCTTTCATCCCATGAGACGGTGCAGCCGGTTCTTTTGTTATCATCAGCAAGATAGAGATGAATGTGTTCTCTCTCTGCAGGAATATCTGCCGTGTGTCCGTACATGACCCTGTTAAAGCATATTAATGAATCATACAAGCCAAGTCCATGGTAAAAATAACCCTCTAAGGACTGGTGTTAGATGTCCTTTGTGTGTGTTGATATGAAGACATCTAATGGGGTTTGATCCGCTGCTATCTCTGACCTGATGCTTCACCCCTGCAGCTCTAAATATAACCTCAGGGGGAAAATAACACTGTCGTGCTATTTTGCAAAGGGGTTGACCTTGTCCTGATGTCAACGATTGCTTTTGCATGCAGCCTGCACGTGCCAGATGAACCCAGACACCCAGACATTAATGAAATCTGGCTAAAATGTAACTTTGCACTTTGAATCTTTAGCTATACAAAGGTGGAAGTCAAACAAAGTAGAAGCTAAAGTGCAGTTATTTACACTGGACACTGCATGGGGTTACAATGTCCAAAATCTCTTTGCACGTGATGTGTTGAAGCACTGAAAAGAGGTAAAGTGTTAGAGTTGGAAATGTCATTGCCAAAAGAGTACAAGAAGTTGAGAAGGCAGGGGACACCCTGGACAGGTCACCAGTCTATCACAGGGCTACACTTAGACAGACAACCAAGCACACTCACATTCACACCTACGGACAATTTAGAATCACCAATTAACCTCAACATGTTTTCTGACTGAGTGGGAGGAAGCCGGAGAACCCAGAGAGAATCC